CCTCACACTACACGCCCCTCACACTACAACGCCCCTCACACTACACGCCCCTCACACTGACACTACACGCGCCCTCACACTACACGCCCCTCACACTACACGCCCCTCACACTACACGCCCCTCACACTACACGCCCCTCACACTACACGCCCCTCACACTACACGCCCCTGCACACTACACGCCCCTCACACTACACGCCCCTCACACTACACGCCCCTCACACTACACGCCCTCACACTACACGCCCCTCACACTACACGCCCGCTCACACTACACGCCCCTCACACTACACGCCCCTCACACTACACGCCCCTCACACTACACGCCCCTCACACTACACGCCCCTCACACTACACGCACCCTCACACTACACGCCCCTCATACTACACGCCCCTCACACTACACGCCCCTCACACTACACGCTCCTCCACATCCACAAAGGCAGATCTGGGATGCTTCAAAATTAAAGGGGGGATGGGGTAAATATGTAGTAAGAAGGTGCCAAGTACCAAAAGTATGAGACCATAAGCTGTGGGAGGGGATGGATCTATATCACACAAAGGTCTTTTCAAAGCATTCTGGAGCTAACTTTGGCACTTTTACATTGATTAATACTGCTCTCATAGTTTCATCAAGGATATGCAGAATAGTGAAAAATTTACAGAATGTCATATGCATATGTAATTGCAGCTAACATTTTATTTCTAATTTTAGCACAACCAATTTCATGCTGTTGTGGTCACAAATTACTCCATGTATATATTGTATATTATTCTATTATTGGGGAGCACAATACACCATCCCCCTACACACACTCACACACACACTCACACACTTACACACACTCGCTCACACTCGCTCACACTCGCAACACACTCCCATACACTCCTACACACTCGCTCTCACTCGCTCACACTCGCTCACACTCGCTCACACTCCCACACATCACACATCACACATCACACTCACACTCACACTCACACTCACACTCACACTCACATTCACACTCACACTCTCTTTCGCCCTCTCTTTCTTCCTCTCTCTCACTCTCCCTCCCTTCCTGTCTTTCTTTCTTTCTTTCTCTATCCCTTTCTTTCTTTATTCCTTTCTCTCTTCCTTCTTTCCTTTCTTTCTTTCTTCCTTTCTTTCTTTCTTCCTTCCTTTCTTCCACCTTCCCTTTCCTACCTTCCTTCCTTCCCTTCCTCCCTTCCTTCCTCCCCTCCAGCCTCCCTTTCTTCCTTCCTTCCTTCTACCCTACCTTCCTACTTTTCTCCTCCCTTCCTTCCTTTATACATACATATATACATATACCTCCCTATCTACCAACCTACATACATACTAACCTCTTACCTACCTACCTTAACAAACATACATACCAACTTACCTATAAAATATTATACTATATAGAGGTATTACTAGAGGTATTACTTTCAACTATCAACAAAACTAAAAACCAAACATATGTCTCAAACGTAACCTCCTCCCAATCATTCATTCACAAAAACAAGCACACAACAATATGAAACACTAAAGATAACACAAACAGATAAAACAACACATTCCTTCTCCAGAGCCCTCATATCAGTTTTCCATGAGGCAGGGTAATGGGTTACAGTTGTGATAACATCTATGATCACAAGAGATCTATGCCCACGATCTGTTAGGGATTTCGAAATGAGATAATAATATCCCTACTGTTGAGTTCTGTCAATCTCTGTCCTTTCCTTACAGGTTAAAAGAAAATAATCATAATTGGAAAATAACTGTATATTTTTCTCAAGTATCTGTTATCTGCAGCATTGCCTACAGTAAATGTGTACTGTTTCTTTCCTTTGGGAAATGTTCTGTTAATGAACAAGTCTTCAGTAACAATTATACACTTTTACAGCCTTTTAGTATATATCATCAAATTGCTCCAGATACAGCAGCAAAATCAGGTTCATTGAATACTTTCCACACTGCTCCACGGTAAAAAACAATAAACACTCATCAAAATATCAACACAATAATAGCAAAGCATTGGACAACCCCAAAGGGTTTCTTTTCCTTTCTTTCAATTCATTTTTTTTTTTTTTTATCCAAACTATAGAATAAGTCACATACGAAAAGGATCTAAATTACCTGCAATCATTAGTGCTAATAAAGCTAAGTAAAACCCTTTCCTCATACTGCATGAATCATGTCATAAAGCTTGGAAGAAAGAAAATGCATCCATCATAATTTTTCTTTAGATAAATGAAAAATTACAAAATATAAACTCAAAATTCACAGATGTTGCCAGACACTTAATGGAGTTGGAACAAATCAACTGCTTGTTAAAAAAAGGTAATCAGGATTCATAATGACTCCAGAGGACGTTGATGGCCAAACATCCCCAAGGGAAGATAATCAGAAGTCC